GCTTTTGAGATTTTAACTCAACCATAGAAGGATCAATAGGCAAGTTATATCCATGTCATTGACTATTCTTTGGCTTTGGTGGCAAGTCCTTGTTGTTGATGATGCACTAAAACTGCCAGAATTATGAGGAAAATACTCCTCATTGTAAAACGGCTCATTGAAATTAAGCCGCCCTCAAACTAGAAGCTGTTGGTCTGCTGACTTAGAGCCCAATTTGTCGAATACTCATTCTAGCCTTGTTCTGGGGCTTAGCTAGCTGAATGTGGACTAGAGAACGAGCTTGTCCTTATTGGTTCTTGCGGCGCGGCCAAATGTCGGGTTTTTGACCGAGTGATTCAGCTTCAGCCCTGTGATAGTGATCTTAGATTTGCATTGGTTACACAATATAATTGTTTCTCAGAGTCGCTAGAAATTGACTCTTGTTGGTGCAATGAGTTGGGTAGGGGAGAGATAAGGTTTTAAAGTGGTCATATTTTCATATATTATTATCATATATTTCCTTTGGATTTTGTATATATATATGAATGGGTTAAATGCACTAAATTTTATTGTTTTATTTTATAGGCATCAATACCGGAGTTATGCAAAAAAATAGTGGAAAACAAGGTTTTTGGGTGTCTAGAGTAATTCCAATGGAGCAAGAGTCAACTTCTGTATCAAGACAAATGCATTACAACATGAAAATAAGAGACATCCGTTTTAGAAATCAAACAGACTTGGGGATGCTATTCACTGGCCTTAGGAGGGAACTTAATTACTAGTTTTATTATTTCCGTTATTTTTTCTTTTATTTAATAAGAACTTAAAGTCCATTAGTTAGAATGTTAGTGGGTTGTTAATTAGAATTTTGCAGGATTTATGATTATTGAGTGTTATATTAAGGAGATTCATTCTCCATTTGATTAGGAGCAAGCCACCAAAAACCACAATGCAAAATTCACATAGGCTACGGCAAGGAAGGACAAGAGGAAGATCTACTTTGGAGTTTTTCTTTGTTAGGGCTATGATGTAGCCTGATCATGAATATTTAATTGCCTTGTGGTATTGTTAGTATCAAGTTTTTATTCCATATTGAGTATCTTTTGCTATTCGTAATGCACTTGATTTTTAATTTAGATGCTTGATCACCATCTAGGTTTTAATTGAGTTGATTTGATACAAGTTAGAGTAGATTCCATACTTAACTTGGGTTTAGCTTCTTGCATTTGATACCATAAACACCTATTTGTAGATGCCATGCAATTAGGGTTTATGTGATTTTCCAATGGTTTCCATAGAGCTTAATGGGTGCTTAATTGTTTAAATTCATCTAAATGTGAGGATTAACATGTAAGGATACTTTTGATGCAACTAGATGCCATGGCCGTTGAATAATTTAGGGAAAATCAATCATCAATATTAGAGAACTACTTGAGCATAACATATTAAGGAAATTAAGTAGAATTGGTTAGGGTGAATTCAAATGCCCTAGGTCTTATTTTCTTATGTTTCAATTTATAATTTACATGCATTTTATTTTCAAGCTTTATTTTATTTCAGTTTAATTCAAAATGTCATGTATTTTCCATTAAAGCTACACATTACAATTTGTTTCAATTTAGTTTTTAAGAATTTTTAGAATCAATTCGATCTCTGTGGGACGATATCCGTGCTTCAATGTTATACTATCATTCGATTTGTATACTTGTGAACACTAAAATTATGGATATGTTCGACCATCAGAATGCGGACTCTGAAATGCACTTAAGAATATCCAATCATAAAATGGATTCGGTTTTTAACGTATCGAACACTGTAATCTGGTGACATCCCAACTCACTGAAAGGCTAATGAGATGACCTCTTCCATTGATTGAAATACACCTTATTGATAGAGACTTGGATAAATAACCAACCGAATTTGAAGCAGTGCTATTACTCCAAACTGAAGTGCTCCTTAGGGGTGGGTAAACGGGTCTTGGTCCCATGGGTCGGGACGGGTACAGCTGGTTCGGGACGGGTAAAGAGCAGGTCCAAAAATTTTAAAGCCAAAACAGGGTGGGTTCACAAAATTAACGGGGCAGGGCAAGTCTAAAAGTTTGAGGAAACTGGCCCCCCGCTCAAACCGTGCGATGGAACAAGTCTGCAAATCTCTCGGATCATACTTGACCCAACCAAATCTATCTCTCTCCTGTCGATTATAAACATAAACCCACCATTTCTCTCCCAAAGCCCAAACCCCTAAAATCCACTTTCAAAATTTAATAAAGGTTGAAGCCTTCACTCTCACAGACACTAAGAAGGAAATACATTGAAAACCCACATGGATTTAGATCTGGGAAGCTTTTTATTGGTAGAATTTAATGGGAGACCTCGGAGAAAAAGCTTATGAGTACTTCAACAACTATGACAACATTTTACAGAAGGCGGTCATGAGGGATAAGGTCTTCGGCCGCCCCAGAGGTTTAGGGTTTGTGGTTTTTGTAAATCTTGTTGATCTCGATATGGTTCTTCAGTGTAAGAACCCTATTGATGGTAGAAGGGTGAGATTCAAATTCTTAGTTTTTATTTTTATTTTTTCGATGGTAGAACGATTTGTGGTTTCGGAACAAGGAGAAGAAGGTTGGAGACTTGAAATAACAACTCAAGACTTTGCAGAAGTCAGGCACAGTAGAAGAAGAGTTTGCTGCACATAAGGAGGATTTCTCTGTAAAAGAACTTGTGGACCCGTAAGAATAGACCCGTTTCATACGGGTCGGGTTAGGTCTAGTTCCACCTTTAAATTTTTATTACCTGATCCGACCCGCCTTGTGTTATTTTCAAGCGGCTCGAGTCCGGTGCTTGCAATTTTAGGCCTGGCCCGTGCCCACCTTTAGTGCTCATCGGTTGCCTAATTTTACGAATCTAGCGTTGTTAATCTAAATTGAAGACCTCGCCGGTTGTCAACACAGTGCTGTTAATCCAACTTGAAGATGCATTGCCAAAGTTAACAAGGTTAGTTTTTTCTCAAAAGGTTTGAAAGGGTTTCGCATAGAGTGAGAATTTGCGCAAGGTAATTTTCTTTGTTGGGTTGAAAGTCCTTGGAATGTTGCAGAATCTCTTCTATATATAAGAGTGATTTTCGTATTGATCAGTTTATACTGAAGTAGAGTCCCTCTTGGATTATACTTTTCTCAGCATTCCCTGATCCAAACTCTTATCAAGCCATCCTGATCTGCGCATAGAGCCAGGCCACTACTACTGGATCTAGGACTCTGAACTCAATCCCTTTTATGTATTCAATTCACTTTTGGTCTTGATCAGTTATGAACATTGATACTGGAATATTACGAATCATATCAATGTTTACTATGATCCTTTAACAATTTTACTCATATTATGACTCAGTCAAATCATTTCAACTTGACTCCCTGAGAGTTCTTCACCCATTAGGATTCAGCCATCCTATATTGGGTTGGACTTCAAGTTTCAGAAACATAAGACATGGGCTGAAAATCTTCACTCTTTGTCAAGCCTATAGTTACATTCGACTCAAACCAAGTATTTTTGGTCCAAACAAAAGCATATACCACGTAACAACATAAGATAATATTGGTTAGGGAATTGTTATTGGGACTCCAAAAATCTTATTTCTCACTCCAAACTTTTTATAATTAGAAAGAAAAATATACTTATAAGAAGTGTAGAATGAGATTTTTAGAGTGCTAAAACAGTTCCTTATTGGTTATTCAATTGTTTCAGTGAATAATGTAAATGTTCCTATTCATCTGTACTACACATCTTGAAGCTAGTGTAATACAATTTTTTTTTTTAAACAATATATAAAAATTAACTCTTTGAGTTAGATCTGTTAATTTCTTATGTGAGTTTGATTTGGGTACGTCAAGCTAATCAATTTCTTTTTAATTTTTTAATCTCTTCAAATTCTTTTAAACTTAATATTATCTTGTTATTGAACGTTAAAGCATAATAAAAATTTATAATCAATTTATTGCACATATGGCATAGTCTTATTGGGTGTTGGGTCTCACATATGTTTCTAGAGGCCACCTATAAGTTTTAGGGAGAAGAGAGAGTCCACTAGTCAAAGTGAAATAAATTTTGAGTTTCAGAAGTGAAAAGCTGATTTTTGAGTTACAGTGAGCAAAATAAGATCAAAATAAAGTTTCAAGGGAAAACCTAAAAATAAGTTTTTACTATATATAGGGGCAGATGCATGACATCATTTTTTAACACAACTTTTAATGCACATTTTTGTGGAGTTCACTCTGTGATGTATTTTAATGATTTGAATCGTCTATCATTTAGAACATCATTTATATATCATCATTGCAAAAAAAATTAGACAAACCTTAAACCATTAATCCAATGATCATATGATTTCTGATTTGAATTTTGGTGGACATGATCTTCTAGGAAAGACCTAAAATATTGATTGTTCAGATCGTTAAAATACATTATGAAGTGAGCCGCACAAAAACGTGTGCCAAAATTGTGTAAAAAAAATGATGTCATGAATCCAATCCATAAAGTTATAGTGATGGCACGAATCCGATCCATAGGTTCACTACTTGATCTATTGAAATACAACCTACCTTTTATGAGTTCAAACTTTTAGTTAAAATTTAACGTCTGAATCAACTTATTTACCTCTGAAACAAATCGTTTTACTTCCTACTTGCAACATATGCTCTCCTATTTGTATCCACACATCCTTACCACGATCATCATCCAACCACCAAGGACCAATTTTGGTCCAATTGACTAAGTCATAATCCAACTTATAGCTTTCACCTTTTTCATCGTAACCGCACTCTTTCCCGTAATAAATCCATTTATATTGGCGGGTAAATCTACCGTGACGTCACATGATTGGCCAGCCCATCATCCACAATGGCTGCCAAAGAAAATCTAATTTTATTGTATTTTTTACTAAAAAGTTAAAAAAGGTAAAATCCCAGCCTGTTACTGCTTTTCAAAGCTTTCGGCTTCGTTCACACCTGGTTTTTCCTCTTTTATTCCATTTATTTGTTCACCATTATATGTAAACCATGAAAGGCTCGACAAGAGGCAACCGCATATTCTCCGAAGAGAACAGCACTCGTGGCCAAAAGTTTGACAGGTTAAAGAACTCCCCGGAACACGAAGAATCGGGGTTTACGACCCCCCAGAGCTACGAGCCAGACCCGATGGTGGCGGAGGACGCCGCTTTGTCTCCTTTCAATAAGTCTCCATGGTCTGCCCATATGAACAACAACGACAATAATAATAATGCTTCAGAAACAGCCAACGACAACTTCTCCCCCAACGTTCTCATGGGTGCGTTGGTTCGTGAAGAAGGACACATATACTCATTGGCCGCCTCTGGAGACTTGTTGTACACGGGTTCGGATAGCAAGAACATTCGGATTTGGAAGAAGCACAACGAGTATTCAGGGTTCAAATCGAATAGCGGATTGGTTAAAGCGATAATCATAGCGAAGGAGAAGATCTTCACCGGTCATCAAGACGGGAAAATTAGGGTGTGGAAGGTGTCCACCAAGAACGCAACTCACAAGCGAATAGGAACTTTACCTACGTTGAAGAATTACATAAAGTGTTCCATGAAGCCGAGTAATTACGTTGAAGTGAGAGGCAAGAGCAAAGTCCTATGGATCAAACACTTTGATTCCATCTCATGCTTGAGCTTGAGCGAAGATCATACGTTACTATACTCCGCGTCGTGGGACAAAACGTTTAAGGTTTGGAGGGTTTCCGATTTCAAGTGCTTGGAGTCGATTAGCGCTCACGATGACGCCGTCAATGCGTTGGTTGTTGGATTTGATGGGTTGGTCTTCACCGGTTCTGCCGACGGAACTGTTAAAATTTGGCGGAAAGAGTTACAAGGAAAAGGTACTAAGCACTTCTTCTCACAAACGCTTTTAAAGCAGGAATGCGCGGTCACAGCCTTAGCTGTGAACCCGGATGCCACAATCATTTATTGTGGCTCGTCCGATGGACTAGTCAACTTTTGGGAACGGGAGAAGAACCTCCAACACGGCGGTGTTTTGAGAGGCCACAAGCTGGCGGTTCTGTGCTTGGCCACGGCTGGGTGCTTAGTATTCAGTGGCTCCGCCGACATGGGGATTTGCGTGTGGAGATTAGGCCCTGACGGGGAGCACATTTGCTTGTCGGTGCTGACAGGGCACACGGGGCCGGTGAAGTGCTTGGCTGTGGAGAGAGATCACGATCAGTCGACGTCTGGAGAGACGAGGTGGATCGTTTATAGTGGGAGTTTGGATAAGTCGGTGAAGATGTGGAGGATTTCGGAGCAAGCGCAGCCTATGGTGCCGAACCAGAAGCACCAGCACTACACCTCCGATGGGTATTGTGTGCCAATGTTGAGCTCGGCGCCTAGCTTTGCTTCTCGTGGAGGGAAAAAGGGTTCAAGAAGATTCTAGGTTTTGATATGATTATAATCAATATATGATTGTGCTGTGTGATTAATAGTTGTGAATTTATGCATGCATGCATGCATGTTTATATCAGTTTTTCTTGATCCAAATATTGTTCATGCATAAGATTGAACCCAGTGGATTTTGAATCATGTCATTGGTAAAGCTAAAGTTTTGGACATGTGGATTGTGGAATACCAAATATTCACCACAAATTACATACATATGCTTGGGAAATGTTTATTTGCATAGTTCAGTATTTGTTCTTCAACTTTTATCATCTTTTAATTTTTACGAACGACATTAAGAGAAAATCAATCAAACTTATTAGGACCTGCATCTGCATGAATACTTTTAGATAACTAACTGAATTACAAACAGTTTTTTAATCTCTATCATATTTATTGTCATAAGAGGATAAACGTACTTATGAAAAGTAGCAAGAAATATTAAGCTCTATCAAGTATAAATCTCAAATTTTCCTCCATCCAAATCAACAAATTATTACACCAAGAAGAGTTTAAAGCTCGAATTTTACTTGTCCCACACATATAAGCCTCGTCAAGTTTTTGCCAACAAGGTTGAGCATAACTAATATAGCTCGAGCTTAGTAAATTCAAGTCAAGCTTGAACATTCTTTTACTCTACTTGACTCAATTGACAGGCGGAGTTATTTTACATTAATCCTTATTGAAATTTTTTGTGCTTTCACATATATGATTCAACTTTCGTGTTTTACACGCTAATACATCCTGTAAAATAGAATCGCGACAAAATTATTAAAGTCAACGAATTAGGAAGTGAAATCTTACCAAATTATGAAGATACCTTTGTTGTGTTAAATATTATATAAATGGAAAACATGGAAGAACCAAGAAAGAGAGTTTCGATGGCTTGAAGAAACTTAACCAACCTAATTATTTTCTGTCTACTTTATAATGATGATTGAGACTTCACACCTTCTTTGATATGGGAATGCTAACTGAGTTCACATTTTTTTGCACCTAAAAATAGTTGTGGCGTCTCTAAAAACACGACATATGTCCACTCACTTACACATTTTAACTGCATTAACTCCTCTATTAACTCCTAAATTTGGAAAAAGAAAACCCAAGAAACCAAGCATTGTGGTCTCTCTTCTGATAAATCAACTTCTGTAAAAATATATTCGACTATCTTGAATTATTCAAAAAAAAGATACAAAAGGCTTTATATACAGACTCATTCTCTTGGAAGAGAATTAACCTAGCCTACAATCTAGCTATACAAAAAAGGAAGATTTTGTACATATCAATTACAGACTTTGTTTCCTATTCTAAGCCAAGATATCAGGCATCTTGATATCATTGACTTCTCAACACTCCCCTCAAGTTGGAGAGTGTACGTCGAGAACTCCCAACTTGCGTATGATGGATGAGAAAGCCTCATTTCCTAATGCCTTTGTGAATACATCTGCAAGCTGGTTTGAAGAGGGAATGTATCTTGTGACAACTGATCCATCTTGTATCTTGTCTCGAATAAAGTGACAATCAATCTCTATATGTCTAGTTCGTTCATGAAAAACTGGATTAGCAGCTATATGGAGCGCCGCTTTGTTGTCACAATGTAGCAAGGCCGGTTTTGGGTGAAGCAAACCTAAATCCCTCAGAAGATATCGAAGCCATGACAGTTCACAACAAGTTCTAGTCATGGCTCTATATTCGGCCTCTGCTGATGATAAAGAAACGGTCTTTTGTCTCTTTGACCTCCAAGAGATCAACGAATAGCCCAAAAAAACGCAATAACCTGTAGTTGACCTTCGTGTCGTAGGACATCCCGCCCAGTCTGAATCACAATATGCGCTTAAGTTTAAGTTGTTTTGAGAAGAGAAAAACAAACCTTGTCCAGGCGTACTCTTCAATTATTTCAGAATTCGGAGGGCTGCTTCCATGTGCGGTTGTCGTGGTTCATGCATGAATCGACTTAACACATGCACGGGATAAGTGATGTCCGGCCTTGTAATAGTTAAATAGATCAATCGACCAACCAACCTTCTATACTTTGCCTGATCTTTAAGCAACACACCAGTGTTAGAAAGTTTAACATTCTGCTCCATAGGAAACTCCACTGGGCGAGCTCCCAAAAGACCACTATCTTTCAAAATTTCTAAAGCGTATTTTCGCTGAGAAATAAAGATCCCTTTCTTTGACTGTGAAACCTCTATTCCCAGAAAGTACTTCAAGTTACCAAGATCCTTGATTTTGAAGTGACCATGAAGAAATTTTTTAAGAGCATTAATTCCTTCAGGATCATTGCCAGTGATCAAAATATCGTCAACATAGATCAGGAGGGTTGTAAAGGATTGCTCTTGCTGCCTCGTAAATAAGGAATAATCTGCCTTTGATTGAATATAACCAGCGGATTTGATTGCTTCTGAAAACTTTGCAAACCATTGCCGGGAAGCTTGCTTCAAGCCATAGAGGGATTTATTAAGGCGACATACGATATTCTCCCCCTGTCGCCGAAGACCAGGAGGAAGGGTCATATAGATTTCTTCATGAAGATCACCATGAAGAAAAGCGTTATGGACATCGAGTTGGTGGAGAGGACCTAGTCTCGGGCAGCAGCAAGGGCTAATAAACAACGAACAGTGACCATTTAGCAGTAGGGGAAAAGGTATCGTGATAATCAACACCTTCAAGTTGAGTGTAACCCTTGGCGACGAGGCGAGCCTTATAACGTTCAATAGAACCATCAGAACGATGTTTGATCTTATACACCCAACGACAACCAATGGGAGTCTTGCCGGCAGGGAGAGGAGTGAGTGTCCAAGTATTAGTGGCTTCCAAAGCACGCAGTTCAGAGTCCATGGCAGCTTGCCAATGGGAATGAAGGGCAGCCTGAGCATAAGTGTGAGGTTCTACCTGCTGACTGATAGAAGCAAGGAAAGATTGTTGTTGAGGTGAGAAACGATGATAAGTGAGAAAATTAGCAAGAGGATACCTTGTACCGGTGGTAGGACCTGTCGACGAAGAGGATGAATCGAGTGGTTGGGTAGAAGGCAAAGTAGGGCAAACATAATCACTGAAGCGAGCTGGAGGAGCGGAGCGACGATCTGAGCGGCGAAGCACGGGTGCAGAGGGCACGGAAGGTTCTGGAGGCACGAGCGCTGGGAGCGCTGATATGGCAGGAGCAGGGACAGAGAGAGATGTAGCATCAGATGCGGGAGGAAAAGACTCAACAGGTGACACGGGAGAAATGGTGCGGAAGGGATGCGGAGGGATCAGTGTAGTCAAGAAGGGGTTGAGGTAAGACAGGTCCGGGAAGCTGGTCATCAGAGATGGAGTGATGTTGGGAAGGGAAAATATGCTCGTGGAAAATGACATCACGGCTGGTAAAAAACTTATGGGTGGTGAGGTCGTAGAGTTTATAGGCTTTTTGGCCAACAGGATACCCTAGAAAAACACACTTATGAGCACGGGGAGCAAACTTATGAGAAATGTGAGTATTTGTGGCATAGGCAAGACATCCAAAGACTCGTAAGTGGGAATAGGTAGGGGATTTGGAATAGAGACGTTCAAAAGGTGTAGTGTTGGAAAGAATTTTGGTAGGGAGACGATTAATAAGGTGAATTGCTGTGAGCACACATTCACCCCAAAAACGAAGTGGTAGGTTGGCTTGGAAACGCAAACTACAGGCTGTTTCAAGGATGTGACGATGCTTGCGTTCTACAACCCCATTTTGTTGGGGCGTATAAACGCAAGAGTGTTGGTATATGACACCGTGTTCGTGGAAAAAATCACGAAGGGAGAAAAATTCACCTCCATTGTCCACACGGATTTGACAAACAAGTGTATTAAATTGAGTACGAACATAAGAGAAAAAATTCTTAAGGAGGTGTTGGGTCTCATTTTTGTGATGCATAAGAAAGATCCATGTGAAACGAGAATAATCATCTACTATGGTCAAAAAATATTTGGCTCCACAAGTAGAGGCAATTTTATAAGGACCCCAAATATCACAATGAATTAAATCAAAAGGTTTCTTGGTTGAAATGGTACTAACACCAAAAGGTAAACGACTTTGCTTGGCTAATGGACAAACATCGCAAGCATTATTAGACTGAAAAGGAAAATGTAACATGTTTTTGGACATAAAATCTAATCTAGATGATGACAAATGACCTAAACGTCGATGCCACAACTCTGTAGGGGATAGAACCATGTTGCAGAAACGTCTTGAGGTGCCATCTTGGACAGGAGCCAACGCCACCAAATAGTAGAGTCCTCCTCGTTGCTTACCCAAACCAATCGTCCTCTTCGTGGTCAAGTCCTGCAAAATACACCAAGTGGGAAAAAAGGTGACGGAACAATTTAATCCTCTAGTAATTCGACTCACTGACATCAAATCTACATTAAAAGTAGGCACACACAACACATCTCGTAGTAAAAAGGTAGAACTCAAAGGTAAATCTCCAGTTGCTACAATAGATGCTTGTTCTCCACTTGGCAATAAAACTGGCAGCATATTAGTATGTTTCACACTATTAGTGAGCAGTTTCGGTAAGGAGGTGATATGGTCCGTCGCACCGCTATCGATAATCCATCGATGGAGATGCGAAGGATTTTTTGACAAACCTTTGGTAGTGGTGGCAGCATTGGCTTGAGGGGCAGCAGATGCAGATGCATCTTTGCCATTCATAATACTGAGAATTTGTTGAAATTGAGAATCTGATAAACCTGACATCACGGACTGCATTTCTTGCACAGAAGGTCCTTCAGAGGAAACTATGTTAGCTGACGAAGAGCCGGTGTCTCGCTTGGAGCGATTCCCACCACGGGGATTAGATTTGTTGGTCTTATGAAGACGATGCCCAGGTGGGTATCCATGCAACTGGTAGCAAGTATCAATAGTGTGGTAATCTTGATCGCAGTGCGTACAATGCATGGGTTTGCGAGTGGAAGAACCTGAGGACTTGGAATGGTGGCCCTGGCGGACTGCCATGGCTGCCGTTGCAGTGGTGGTGCGAGAAAGGCTCAAAGAGCGCTGTTTCTCCTCCTGTGAGATGGAGGAGTAAGCTTGACGTACAGTAGGCAAGGGATTCATCAAGAGGATTTGTCCTCGAACAGCACTATATGAATCATTGAGTCCCATAAGGAACTGCATCAACCTGTTCCTTTCATTTTGAGCACCGCATGTGCATGAGGATGAATCATTGTAGGAAGACAACTCGTCCCACAGACTCTCCAACTTGGTATAGTAGGCTGCAATAGAGAGTTGATCTTGAGAAAGACACGAAATATCCCGCTGCAATTGAAAAATCCGAGGGGCATTACTTTGGGAGTAGCGTTCTTCCAATTCGTCCCAAATCTCATGAGCGCTAGTCATGTAGAGGATGCTGTCTGAAATATCTGAATCGATTGAGTTGATGATCCAAGCAACAATCATGTCGTTGCATCTCTTCCATGCAGCATGATCGTTCGGCTGGGTTTTTGCTGATGGTTGTGGAACAGTGCCATCAACAAAACCAATCTTGTTTTTAGCACTCAAGGAAATCTTCATGGCTCGAGACCAGGTGGAATAGTTGTCCCCATTAAGGGGTTTCGAGACCAGCACCATAACTGGGTGGTCTGAATGATGAATGAACAGTGGATTGGAAGCATCAGGCTTGCTTTCGCTCGAAGTTCGATCATCGGCCATGGCTAATGATCAATGGAAAAAAAACACGCTGCTTGTGATGAACAGCGGCAAAGAGAAACAACAGCAGAAAAAAGAACTAGGGTTTTGGCCTAGCTCTTGATACCATGTAAAAATATATTCGACTATATTGAATTATTCAAAAAGGATACAAAAGGCTTTATAAACAGACTCATTCTCTTGGAAGAGAATTAACTTAGCCTACAATCTAGCTATACGAAAAAGGAAGATTTTGTACATATCAATTACAGACTTTGTTTCCTATTCTAAGTCAATGACTTTGTTTCCTATTCTAAGTCAATGACTTCTCAACAGCCACCTCGTGGAGGATGGTGTTCCCGTGGCTATTCTCCAGCACCAAGGCATTCCGTAAATTCCGAAGGGCGTCGTTGGTCGCAGTTGTCACAAGTGAAATCAAGAATTCAAGCACGTCGTTCCGCCCGGCAAAGGCTACGACGTGAAGTACAGTGTCATCGTTCGTTGTCAATGGACTGAATACCTCTTCGCAGTTTCCCTTATAGTATTGTTTCAGGCGTTCCCAGTTGTCGTACATGGCCCATTGATATGGCCTTTTTGTTCGACTCAGTGCCTCTCCCTCTCTTTCTATTTTCTCATCTTTTTCTCTCTGTTTCTTCAACCTCTCCATCTCTCTCTCTGTACAATCGTCACCATCAGGCTAGCTAGATGGTAAACTGCACATAGGTACGTTGCTTAATCAAGAAACAAAGTTAAAGAACAACTGCAAAGTTCACTACGATTATTAAATATGCAATTTTCATCAAAGAATTAGATGCTTTCAAACTATATAATTTCAGACGTTGCTTAATCAAGAAACAAAGTTAAAGAACAACTGCAAAGTTCTCTACGATTATTAAATATGCAATTTTGATCAAAGAAATAGATGCTTTCAAACTATATAATGTTAAAAGCTGAAAAATGAGAGTTTTGAAAAGATTCAAAGTTAACAGCTGTCTTCTTCCCAGCCTTATGGTAAGGTGTGTTAGCATTGATCCACATGGTTTCGGTTTTGAAGGCTGGTATCGCAGAGAAAGAAGATAAGTAATTATGATTCAAATCCAAAAAGATAAGAAAAAAACATAACTAGCTTTGCTTTGTTTCCTTGAGAAGTTGAAAAAAAGGTGACAAAAATCTTCGCTTGCTTCGTTACTTTTTCTTTGAGTTCTTGCTTTTTGAGAGCGAGACCAAAATTTTAAACTAAATTTGTAAACTAAAAGATGTGTCATTAATATGAAATAAACACGGTAATCAAAACTTAAGTAATAATCCAATCATTACCATCCACATCATTTGGTTTAGAAATTTAGTTTCCCTAACATTACCCTTATTTTTTTAGGGGAGGATGATATTCTAGCCTTTAGTGTTGGCCACGAGAGATTTTTCAATGTGTCGGGGTCTAAGATTGCTGGAGGAAATCTTAATTGAATGAAAAAGTAATTAATCGAGGTTAATTTTGTTGACTTTTTGTACAGTCTTATTATCTTGGAATTCTTAATTTAGCATGATTTCATGTAAATTAGTTCTTTCCTTATTGATATGATTGTATCATCCTCTTTGAGAGATGAATAGACATATAATACACAATTCCAAAAGCATTCTCTTCTTGAAGCCAAAGCCATGTCGTAAAAATAGGAAAAAACTTAGCTGTGCGTGGTAGCATTACCGTGTCTCAACTATGTTTGATGCGCCGTTGACCAGCGAGCGACTATCGTCATTGCTGACAATAGATTAGCAAGCAACTGTTGTCATTACTACTCCTCTCTGAATTCGAAATGAACAGCGAGCGACGGATGTCGTTGCTGCCCAGATTTCTTTGCAATCAGTTTCAATCAGAAACCCATAACCCAATCATCAGTTTGCCGTAGAGTCTGCTGCCCACCAGTGCACCGGTGCCCACGCACCAAACCTGAATCACCGTGTTATGATCCTCTGATTGCTTCGGTCACAAGTATTAGGAATTGGGCCAAAATGTAATAAGTGAGATTGTGTTGAGGGTTTATTTGCTATTTGTAATTCTGTAGGAGAGTTTGTTTACAATTTCTGTCTTTTATTGCCATGTGGCAGATTTCAAATGTGTATTGGGCTAACTACATAGCCATATGTTCCCTCTCTTCTAAAGGTTGGAAAGGAATTAAAAATAATTTTACAAAAAATATTCAGCTTCTTCTTCTCTCTTCTTCCACCGCAATTTCTGATCTTGTAAGCATGTCAAGGTTCAGCCTCGCCGGATTCTGGTGCTATCATTGGTATCAGCCTCTGATCCTGGTTTACTTCCATGCACGGCCCGTGCAACTACCACCAATCGTCTCTCTGCGAGGGACGGCTGTGTTGGTGCGCTAGAAGCTTCCATGGTTTCTCTTCATTCCTTGGTCGACGAAGCGGTGTCTGCTACTCTTGACACTAAATTGCAGCTCTACTTCAAGCAATTCTGTCGCGAACTACAGTTTCAGCTGGACGGTAGTGGCCTTGCGGGTCCCGTGGTTACTGAATGTTCCGATCATCGTGCCACTGCACCAGATCCACATCCTCGGAGTCTGATTCGTGTTGGCAATGATCATCCACCATGACCGCCATGGATTCAGCGAGTTGAGTTCCCTCGTTTTGTTGAAGGCGAGGATCCGCTTGCTTGGATTTATAAGGCGGAGCAGTTCTTCTCCTTCTACAACACTCCCGCTGCGCAGCGTGTCCTTACTGCTTCCTTCCATTTCGATGGTGAAGTCTTGCAGTGGTTTAAGTGGAGAGACTGTTTGCGCACTACTCCGACCTGGGAGGAGTTCACTCGAGCCTTATGCATGGAGTTTGGGCCATTCGAGTTTGAGGACACTGCAGAAACACTCTTCAAACTGCGTCATACAGGTACTTTGAAGGATTACATCTTCGAATTTAGGTGTTTGGCTAATCGCACTCCTGATATTGGTCTTGTATTGCTTAAACCTGCTACTGTGCATGATGCGATTGCAATTGCGGTCCACTTAGATGCCAAACTGAGTTAATAGAGTAGTCGGGTTAAATCCTCCCGTGTTGAAACACCAGCTTGCACCTACCACTGTTACTCCTACTGTGCCTAGAGGCAACAAGAAACATAAACTGTCACACTAACAAGCAGCAAGACGGCGGCATCAAATTCCAGTGCAAAAACAAGAACGCATCCACAACACCAGAGGTTAAAAACAGACTAGCCGTCTTAACACAACGAACAAATGAGACCTCAAATAATAAAAATACTAACAATAATGAAGCAGCAGCAGCAGCCAAATGGCAATGATCAGCGTGGCGCAGTAAACGACAGCTTAAAGTGAAGCACTGTTTCACAAAATGAGATTCCATCATTGGGCTTATTAACAAAGGGTGACAAAGTATCATTAAAAAGCCAACCATATACGAATACCACAACCATAGAATTCCTTCTATCAACAAACTGGAGACATGCATACCACAACCACACACACGCAGCAGGTAGAGAAATTATCGTATTATACAAAAGAAGCAAAAAATGAGATAAAACTGAAGGAACAATTTTAAAGTAAGCACAAAACATGACTCATTACTCTCTATCCCAAAAAAAAATACTGATTACTGAAGAAAAAAAAAAACTGACTCATCACAAGGCTCCCCATTTTGCAAGGCTCGGGAGAATGTCTGTCGTACGCAGCCTTACCCTTACTTTGCAAAGAGGCTGTTTCCACGACCTGCGACCTTCGGTCACAAAGGAGCAACCTTTCTGTTGTGCCCCTAGCAATATTAAAGCCAAAGGCAAATTAAAGGGAAACAAAATATTTGTTTATATATACGAATACTGATAAGAAAGAGATGCACCAATTGCCAACATACCTTAAACATGAAAACTAATAAACAACCATTTACACAACACCACTTGGGTTGTAAAAGTAAACAAAAAAATAGCCCTCAGATCTTATTATATCCTGAATCCAAATTCAAGAATTCTGAGCTTTCATTTTCATTCACAGGCACATCCTGAATGACAGCAGCAGCAGCAGCAACAACAACAAACGCCACCACCATAAAGAGTAGATGGTTACTCTTAACGGTAGATTAATACGAAGCGAAGATGCTCATAAAGAAATCAAACGAACACCAAAGAACATGAGTCTGCATCATTGGGCAAAATGTGTAAAGCTGTACCATGCCATATATGCAAGAAGCAACACTTAATAATTCCCAACTTGTTGCACAAACCAAGCAGAAAGAAAAACAAACCCACAGATACTCTGAGATTGTCATTGTAAAGATAACCACATCACAGACAACATAACTATTTTCAGTTGACTGAGGTCTCATAATAATTGTTGAATTAGCATTTCAAGCCAGAGAGAGAGAGAGAGAGAGAGAGAGAGAGAGAGAGGATGGTGGCGTTGATGATGTCGATGACTAGTACAGCAAAAATGATAGAAAAGGCTCCTAATTACAACCCACAGAAACTGAACATAGACTTATCAAGAATATGGTTAGTATGTTATCTGACTCATTTAGAAACAAACAATCGAGCTTGAAATCATCTGTTTTCAGTGCATCACTGTTTATTCGCCGAATTACATAAGCTAGTGTTCCATATATATATATATATATATATATATATTTATAAGGGATGGTGCTATCCACACCCCTTTTTACCTCTAACACACTCATCTCAATTTCCGGCCATTGAATCAAATGAATTGTAGAAGATCAAAATGACAACAGGAGGTGTGTGGAAGGTACAAATTTGTGTAGTTTTACTGTTTGCATGTTGTCAACTAAAATATTCCAGACAAGCATGTGTTTTCTGTAATGATGTTTTAATTATTACATTTGTGAAATTGCGTTAAACCCTAAGACCATAGTTTCTCAACAACAAACATTTGCAACATGAAAATTCACCAACAATTTGGCATAAAAGTAAAATGAGAAAGAACCTCACCTGCAAAAGGTGATTTTTCTTTCTCTAATTAGCATGTAGTACCAATAGCACTAGAACTCCAGGACTCGTTCTGTTGGACTAAGAATACCAAACAGTCCAAGTTTTCTTAGTTGATAGTGTTGAGTCTTCAATCGAATAAAGGCTCCTTGACAAGAAGATTAACTTTTTCGTTTAAAAATTTGAGTACATCTTCTCTTCCTTCTTTTATCAGCAACTGCCTTAATCTCCCAAAAGTCACACCTGCTGGCCGAATCCCCTTCTCTACCATCTCTTCCAGTAAGACACAAGCCTTTGAAGCATTTCCCTTCTCACAATATCCATTTATAAGGACTGAATATGTGTGCATGCTCGGGACAAACTGCTTCAACTTCATGTATTTCCAGACTTTATGAGCCATCTTCAACTCATCTCTCTCACAAAACATCTTTATCATCATTGTATACGTATCTGCATCTGGTTCGCATCCTTTGATCATTTTGCGAAAGACACTAAATGCCTCCTCAGTCTCTTCACGATCAATCAAACTATTTAAAATGACATTGCAAGTCCTTGAATTGGGAGTAACGCCTTTGGAATTCATATCGTTTAAGACCCTATAGACGTTCTTGCACTTGTTAGCCTTACAAAAAGCGCCGATCAAGGCATTGTACACAACCACATCAGCCCTTATTCCATTCCTTTCCATCTCCAAGAATGCAGCAACAGCATCTTCAATCCTGTTTTCAACCCCATACGTATGCACCAAAACACTATAAATAAAAGACGTCGGTGTACAACCACTATCATCCATGCCCTGAACAATATCAACGGCTTCATCCACCCTCCCTGCCTTGCAAAGAACATCAACCATGATACCATAAGTCACTATATCAGGATTGCAACCTGCATCAATCATTTCTCTGAACACCTCCCTTGCTTTAGGCAAATTCGGATCCTTCCCCCATCCGCCAATCAATATACTATAGGTCTTTGAGTCTGGCTCAAACCGATCCTTCATTTTATCAAAAACCTCCTGAGCCTTCCTCACATTCTTGGACTTACACAGAGCACTCAGCAGGTCATTGAACGCCGCTAAATTTGGGGCACAATCATACTTCTCCATAACATTAAACGTATAAAGCGCTTCCTCAACTTTCTGTGCCCTGGCATACTTCCTCATAATGATTCCAAATGTCTCCATATTCTGCATCCTCTTCAACCTCATCGAGTTCACAAGCTCCCACATGATCTGATACTGCCTGATCTTGGCCAAAGATTCAATCATAGCATGGTAGGCCTTAACACTATGCGTATAATTTCGCTGCTTCCCCGCCCACTCAAAGAACCTGTATGCAACCATACCGGCATTGTTGAATCTCGTGAGAACTTCCTCTACCATTTCAGGTGAAATTCGGATCCCGGTTTGGTCAAGGGCAGTATCAAGAGCAAGTGTTGGGCAGGACATCATAATTTTGCAAAGTCTTTTTGTTGGGTCGGAAAATTCCCTCATGGGTTCGGTTGAACAATAATTCCGGGTCAATTTCATCAACCCAAAACCTAATCTTTCCCCACATTTTTGTAATCTTATGGCCATGTTTTTGGGAACCCGATTGAAAAATCAAGTCACCTGGATCATTTGAAATCTAAATTTAGAGAAATCAAACATCATTTAACTAATCAAATAGGGAACTATTATTAGCAGTCCAAAAATCTCATTCTACACTCCTATAACTGTATTTTTCTTTCTAATTATAGAAAGTTTGGAGTGCAAAATGAGATTTTTGAGTGCCAATAACAATTCCCATCAAATAATGGGAATGCATTAACAAATTAGGACCAACGAATTTAATTTTTGAAGATTGAAAATAAATTAAGAAAAATAATAAGACTTCCTGAAATTTCCTGCAATTTGATTTGCTCTAACATCTTCCAATAAATAAATCAAAGGAAATAGAAATTCTAGAGAGAGAGGGGTGAAGCAAACATACTTATACCAATACCCACCAACCAATTCTATTCATTCACAGCCAAATTCCATAACAGAAATACTACCATGCTTGCTTAAATAACATTACTTGGACCGCAAACACCCACACTGATACATATAAAGCATCCCAAAGATCTAAGGAAACCCCTTCCGGCACTTATCCAATGTTCACTAAGAAAATGTAGGAAAACAATAGAGACCAAAATCTCGAACTTAAACCAAAATCCATAGTATCCAATTTCCAGGTTTGCAATTGATACGAAACCAAAATCCTTTTCCTTTACCAAAAATTGCCAAATTTGTTTTATCACAAACTACAGCAAGCACATAACAGACGCAAAAGATTCAATCTTTTCTTAGTTCTCCTACCAACCAAACAAAATTAAACCCAAAAGAAATGGAGGAAACGAAACAAATTAACCTCCAGAACTCCTCGGCAACTGTCTCTCCTTATTCGAGCTCGTGTCGTCCTCCCTTGGCTTAGGGGTTCGCCTCGGTCTTCACGGTGCTGTCCAGAACTGGAGGGAGAGAGTGAGAGTTCTGGAGAGGAGCGAGTGCCCAAGAAATGGACGATCTTGGGTTATGTTGGACTAGGGCCTGGCATTTGAATAAAAAACCGACTAACCACACCAACCGCACCGGCATTTTTTTTTTCCTTCAATTTGCAGTGGTTAAACCTAATAACCAATATAACAGAATTGTCACGTGACATTATCTAGAAGGTGAGTTAGTTAATACAAGTAGAAGGGTATTGTTGTAATTAGCCCTTGTGGTTATATAAGAAGTGATAGGGCTGTCATTTGAGTAAGAAGAAAAACATTGTAATAGTTTTTGAAAGTGTTAATACAATCTCTCTCTTCTCTCTCTTTCAATCTTCTTCTTCTCTTCTTCTTCGACTCTGTCATCTATTGTCGTTCATAGTTCTTCTATGTTAATATGGTATCATCGTCACAATTGGCTTGTTGCCATTCTTGATTCTGGTAAAGACTTCTGCTGGTATGGGTGCTGCTTGAAGAGTGGGTGTTTGGTGATATGAAACGGTGTTGTGTGGGTGTTTGGATATTTGGTGGTGCAATTTCAGTAAATCAGGTGAACTGTTTTTGTTTGATGCTTATTTCTTAGAGTTGTGGTCTTTGATTTACTTTTGAGATTTAATTGAAGTGAAGATTTGGGGTTTTTTGGTCGAATCTTGATGTGTTGACCTCTACAAGTATTAGTCTTTCCTTGGAGTATCATTCTCTAGGGCTTGTCGATGTAAAGAAGAAAGTGTCATTCTTTCTATGAATCTTGGAGTTTCATTCTGGGTATTTTTCTGTGAATCTTGGAAGAAAGTTGTGTTTGTGGAGTGTCAGTCTCCTTTTTTTGGTATCTTTAATAGAAGCGTGAGATTTGTGTTGTGATTTGGAGTTTCATTCTCCTTGGGTATTTTTTCTGTGAATCTTGGAAGAAAATTGTGTTTGTGGAATGTCAGTCTCCTTGTTTTGGTGTCTTTATTACGATTTGTGACTGGTTGAGTTTGTTTTAATGGCGTCTTCTTCATTCAAGACTGAGAATTTGTTGGGTATGTTGACTATAAAACTCAGAGATGACAATTTTGTCAAATGGGCATTTCAGTTTCAGTCGGTTCTTAAAGGGTATAAACTGTTTGGCCATTTTAATGGTACAATTGCGTGTCCTTCAAAGTATGCGGTGAGTTCAAAAAATGGTATCACCAAGGAGATTACTACAACATTTCTTGAAGGGGAGTCTATTGATTTGACTCTTATTAGTCTGTTGCTTGCTACATTAACAGATGAGGCAATGGAATATGTCTTGGGGTGTAGGACTGCTTTTGAAGCATGGTCGAATCTTCTTGAACGTTATGCTTCTATTTTGAAATCTAGAGTCAAATCATTTGAAAACTGAGTTGCATACGATTTAGAAGGGTACATATAACATTGATAAATACTTGTTGCAATTGAAGAATATTAGAGATCAGTTAATGGCTGAAGGAGAAACAGTTGCTAACAATGATATTATCATTGCTGGATTGGCAGGTTTGCCTAAGGAATATGGTATTATTCACACTATTATCTTGGCAAGGGAATCTTCAATTACTTTAAGGGAATTTCGTGCACAATTACTTGGAACTAAAAAGGAGATTGAAGGAGAAATGAATTTGTTATCTCAAAATATGACTGTTCTTTTTGTTCAAGGTTCTCAATCTGGTTAGAATGCTAGTTTGGTCTGTCATGTATGGTAATGGATCTTCAAATGGTGCATCTTCATCTAATTCTCAGACTCATGATCATCTACCTGCTACTACAGGAGGTACTATTGTTCGACAACCACATGATGCATTTAATAATTTTTCTCACAATGGTATGGACTCTCAGATATTTGGTTCTAATACATTTTCTGCAGGGTATCAAGAATAGTCTTATGGTTATGGTTTTGTGGGACAATCTAATTTTGGACATCAGCAAGGGTTCAAGTCTCAGAACTACAATGGGGGTTACAGGTCTAGAAATGGTGGTCAATACAGGAATAACAACAACAATTATAGAAATGGTGGTATTAACTTCAGAGGAAGAAGGTCTCAAAATGGAAATGGTCATTACTCTGCAGGTTATAGACAAGTTCAGAATGGTACTGGATCATGGTCAGGTAATACAGAAGCCAGAACAAATGTTATAATTAAGTGCCAGGTTTGCAATAAACAGGGACATACTGTAGTGAACTGTTTTCACTGAAACACAAGCAATGCACCAGCTAGTTTTATTGTAGAATGCCAGATATATGGATAAATGGGGGCACTTTGCTCTTGATTATTTTCATCGAGGGAATTACGTATTTCAAGGTCAGCCACCATCATCATCTTTGTCTGCCATGAATGCACAACAAACATCTCAAATTTTTCCTCAGGACTCGTGGATTGTGGATTTGGGTGTTTCACATCACATGACTGCATATATAACTACATTGAATCAAGTGGGTCCTTATCACGGTTCTGATAAAATAACCATTAGTAATGGTTCAAGTCCACCAATTCAACATATTGGTTCCACTGCAATACACACTCATAATCATTCACTTGTTCTCAGTAAAGTTCTTCATGTTCCAAATATTACCAGAAGCCTTCTCTCTATTAAACAATTATGTGCAAATAATAATAGTTGGTTTATATGTGATGAGTGTGAGTTTTTTGTGCAGGACAAGAAGACAAGGGAGGTGGTGAATTAGGGAAAGAGTAAACTGGATGAGTTATTTCAGATTCCAGTTGTTAAAGCTTCTAGAGGGCAAGAGTTTGTTACAAGAGATTTAGTAACTTACTTAGGGAAATTGGTGAAATCAGATATTTGGCATCAAAGATTGGGACATCTTGCACATGATACTATGGCTGCAATGTTAAGACAGTCTAAGGTTTTACACAAGTTAGATGATACTTGTACTACTTGTATTTCTTGTATTAGAGGCAAAATGTCTAGGATACATTTTCCTGTTAGAAATGACAGATGTTTAGTTCCTTTTGAGAAAGTTCATACTGATGTTTGGGGTCCAACTCCTATAAAGTATGTGGAAGGTTTTCGATATTATGTATTTTTTATAGATGAAAACACAAGATTTACTTGGATATTTCCCATGTGCAACAAATCTGATGTGCATGCAATTTTTGTCAAATTCTATGCTTTCATTTACACTCAGTTTGGGATGACAATTAAAGGTTTGCAAACAGATGGTGGAGATGAATACACTAGCAAGAGGTTTACATCATTTTTGGCTGCAAAAGGTATTATGCAGTTTATTTCATGTCCTTACACACCTCAACAGAATGGGATTTCTGAGAGGAAACATAACATGTGGTGGATACTGCTCCCACTTTGTTAAATGCTTCTGGTTTAAGTAGTGAGTTTTGGTACTTTGCCTGTGCTCATGCAGTCTTCTTGATTAATAAAATGCCCTGTAAGACTTTGTCATTTAGTTCTCCTTATCTGCTATTATACAACAAGGTGCTTGAGTTACAGTCCTTAAGAATTTTTGGATCCGCTGTGTTTCCATGGACAAAACCTTATAACAATCATAAATTACAGTTTAAGTCCAAAATGTGTATCTTCGTAGGCTACGCAATGTGGTATAAGGGAATCATGTGTTATGATCCACAGTCTAAGAAATGCATTATATCAAGGCATGTTATTTTTGAAGAGTCAATATTTCCTACCAAATTGAGACCTTGTCACAGTGGTGAGGCATCTGTTGAGACAGTCAATCAAACTAGTTATGTGATTATACCATTTCCTATTCCCATGAGTATTATGAGGGTTCAATTTGAGCATGGTCAGCGATCAGAACTTCATCATGTTGGGACATTAATTTCTAATTCTAGTTCTCATGTTAGTATTACTCCACAGAATCGCATTTGTGAAGACTTATCAGCATCAACATCTGATAACTCCTACTTTACAACCAGTGATACACCAACTCCACCTCTTTTACTTCATGTCCTTGATTATACTCAACTTCAGGTACTATTACCTTTTTCTGAGAGCTCCTCTAGTACTGATTTATATGTATTACATGTACAACAACCACTTCATCATGGGATTCAAACTAGATTACAAACATGGGCTATTTCAAGAATTATGCAGCTTATCTTGCAAATTTGCCTGAGTTAAATTCATTACAAATTCTGGATTCTTGCTCTTATATGTCTAGCTCTGGTACAATTACTAGTACATGTTCTGGAGGGTTTTCATTTTTAGCTGATATCACAAAAATTGAAGAGCCTACAACTAGCTATGCAAGAAGACTATAATGCATTAAAGGCTCAAGGTACATGGGTTCTAGTTCCACCTCCATCTTACAAAACTATTGTAGGTAGCAAATGGGTTATATAAAATCAAGAAAAATCCAGATGGGTCAATATCCCTGTATAAGGCAATGTTGGTTAATTAGGGTTACACTCAAGAACAAGGGTTGGATTACTCAGAGACTTTCAGTCCTATGGTAAGATATACTACTGTACGCCTTATACTTGCTTTAGCTGCACAATATGGCTGGAATATGAGACAACTAGACATTAAAAATGCCTTTTTGCATGGTGATCTCGAGGAAAAGGTTTATATGCAGTAGCCTCAAGGCTTTGTGGATCCTTCTTTTCCAAGTTATGTGTGTAAACTCATTAAGTCTCTCTATGGCTTGAAACAAGCCCCGAGAGCTTGAAACTCAAAATTTACGAGTTATCTTCCATCTTTTGGCTTTACAACTTCCTTATCTGATAATAGTTTGTTTGTTAAACTTGATGAAGGGGATATTGTTCTACTATTGCTTTATGTTGACGATATCATACTCACTAGTTCTAATCTTACAAAAGTTCAAGCAGTGATAAGTGCTCTTGCAGAAATGTTTGATCTCAAAGACATGGGCCGCTTATCCTTTTCCTTGGGACTACATATTCAGTATAAAGATGATGGTTCCTTTTTTATCAGTCAATCCAAATATGCAAAAGATATTCTCAAGAAGGCAGCAATGGAGACATGTAAGCCTACATCTACACTATCAAAACCACATGCATAGATACTTGAACAAGAAGGCACTGCTCTATCTGATCCAACTCATTATAGAAGTTTAGTATGGGCTTTCCAATATTTGACCTTTACTAG